AGAAAACGAAAAAAAAATCTGGATATTAATTTATCTCTCACTTTTATAGTAAATAGACTAAAAATATTAGCGACTCAAGTAATTACCTAATACGATGTAAGGACTATCTTATATTGTGATGTAAGATTCCAATCCCACCACTCTTATCCCCTTCTCCTTGATTTCTCATGTTCAGAAAAAAAAAAAAAAAAACTTCTGCAAGCCCTATCTATTGTAATACTTTGTTAATTTATGTTGGAATCAGAACTCAGAGTTTCATCAGGAGCACACAGGATGGATTAATCCAAAAAACAAGAAAGGGTTTTGTTGTGTGGTTTCGTTTCCGTTGATACTGTTCATCTTAATCGTTCCATGGCGTTTTTAGCCATTTTGAGTAATTAGAAATTTTCATATTGAATATAAAATTAAAAAAGAGAGAGTTAAATATAAAAAGAATTAATACTCTTATTATTAATTGATTTTAAATTAAATATGAATTTTATATTAAAACTCATAAGCTTCATTTTTCAGAGACCTCTTGTCAATCCACTGAGCCTGCACACCTAGGCTTCATTCTTAAGAAACCCGTTATTATTCCAAGGTTGCACGTCTATGTAACAAAGAAAAACAAAGAGGGCTAGGGCTTGAGGTCGAATGGAAAGTGTACCACAGTATTATGGACCTCCTACTCCTCCATTACAACCCCAACCTACATCCTAAGGAAAACCTTCATCATCGGAAGCTTAATTACGATGCCGTACAAACAAACTAGAAATTAATTACATACATGAACCATTCGTTAGTAAGTGTTATCCTGTTTGTAAATATTTAATCTTGAAGAGATTTGTGAATCCGGTATGCCAACAACCATTAATTGCATCTGTTATCTTAAAGAGATTTGCGGAATTCGGTATGCCAACAACCAGTAACTGCATAACACTAGCATTCTTAAAATGAAGCAAACAATATTTACAAAATCCGACAGGCTTACTACGTTCATCCGGAACCGTTCTTTTTTTCTCTTTTGAAAAGCATCCCGGATCCTCTTTATTATCCGATATCAGTTATGAGTTTGCAATTATGTGTTTCAAATTGAAGTCTTGATGTATGGGGTGGTAGGCCAATAAAATCTTGATCACATATGGAAACCTACCCATTACATCGGTTCAGTGATGAAAGAAAACCACGCCCGTATATTGGTTTGGGATTGGTGTATGCAAGGAGAGAGTAGGTTAAATGATGAAAAATGATTGTTTTTCATTGTACAATTTAAAATAAAAAAAATAAGAATTTAGTAAATTAGTATCTATTAATTTATAATTTTCAATTTAAGGTTAAAATAAAAAATTTAAATAATTGAGATCCTTCTTATGGATTAAAGCAACAAATGACAGGTATGCCTTCAATATATTTGATTGGCTAATTAATCCCGGTGCTTGTTTGAAAGATATTGATGGAGGAAGGAAAGACACTAAGAATTAATTGAATGTTAAGATTGAATTTTTGAATGGTTTTTGATGAATGTATAATGGATGGTATTGTGTAATTGGGTTGAGTACCATTTGTACTCATTTTATTTATGTAAGTTCTTTTTGCTGTTAAAAAAAAATAAAAAATTTAAATCTTTATAATGTCAAATAATTAACTTTTTAATAAATAAAAAAACTATATTAATTGATGAGAATACTAATAATGTGGTATTTTTATGTTAGAATTTCTACGTAGAAATCAACATGATTATCATGAACGTAATCTTGGTTTGGGTGGTCTTGCACAAGAAAATGGCCTAATTAACGAATCATATTCATAGACCATGCCTTATTCTTTTCATCTTTCATATTTGGTATTGAAAATTGAAATGTAGCACGTGATCTTTTCTGTCAAAATTTTTCATATATTTTCCGAGTTAAGAAGTTGAGAGGCTAATTCATGCATGCCTAAAAAACTAGTAGAAAGATTGGGATTTGGTCAATTTTGTAGTTCTTTAATTTTCTTCTTTTATGAATTGGACATTAAGTATGATGACTTGATTTGAAGATAAATAAAAAATATATATGAAAAAAGCAATATTTTTGTTTCTCTGTCCAAATGGAGTCATGTTTTACACGTCCCTGCTGTGGTGGGTGAAATGAAAGGCTTATAAAGAACCATATAAAATTAATTTAAAATTTTTAATTTAAAGTTAAAATTGAATGTTTAAATTTTTATATTATTTAATAATTATTTTTTATTATAAAATTATAAAAACTCTGTGGAACCTCAAAACCAAAACACTACCTCTACTTTCCAATGCTGATAAATTGTACAAGTGTTTCTACCATTTTTTCCTTTCCCTGCCTTACACTCCAAGGAAAATGAATGGAAACTGATGAGGAAATTAACTAGAGCAATGTTGTTAATTAGCTCAACAAACAAATGTCTACAGCCACATAGAGCTCCTTTATCATATCCGCTTTGGTTTTCATTTTACAAGTAATTATAAATTTTTTATAAATAAAAATAAATTTAATGTGATTTTTTACCAATAATACAGTAATTCAATGGTAATCTTTAACATTGTTGAAACCTGACGAA